CCAGTGGGTATCAGGGAAATGCAATATTTAACGCTTAACCAGTCCATTTTGATTTACAAGCGTGTTACCAGTTGTAGAAACAGATGATGAGCTCATTCCTTCTTACACCATCTTACAACCTTTCCCCAGTAGTAACTCGGATAGATACACAATGCCATTGCACCTCCTTTTCTCAGGAATGGTAGTAGTACAAGCCCATTATTGTCTTGTAGTACAACGGCTACACATCGTGTCCTCTGATCACGGGCTACAAAAAGGGCATATTGGCCGAGTTCGACTACGATCTGAACACCCTGGAGACGTTTCCCTTCGATCAATCGCAGGAGAGGGCGCTTTTCGCGTGGATCAAACGCTCATTCCTGCCACCCCTCTACTGGAACGCACTTATCAGGTACCACTCGCACGTCTCACCGGTAGCATGTCGCACCCACACAGTCACGTGTGTGCCTTATCACCCTGACTTGTTGTTGATGGACTGGAGTGGTGTGGTGTGGAGTAGACTGGACCAAACTGCTTGTGGTTCCTTCTGTGCGAGAGTAGTCCTGCAGTCGCTACTTAGATGTGGTTCGATCAGTAGCATATGTCATTGTTGTTTGTTGGAAGTTTTGGATTTGGGTGCAAATTGGTTCTACCCTTGGAATGGGTGCCTCATTTCCTGCCAGTGAAATGCACATCCATACCGTTGTGATATTACTACTAGCAGCTTTATAAGTAGCAAAGGAGCTACTTGACTTCTGTGTATGGGGTCAGCATTAGCACGTGCATCGTGTGTGGCTGCTGCCCGCTGGCCTTACACGTGTTTGTTTTGGAGAGCTTTATGAGGTGACATCCATGTGGTCGTACCAAATCACATTGGGAGGTGGAAGGCATTACTGGATAAGATGTTAGTGCTGAATCCGTCATGAATTCCATCATGTTTCGAGGAGGAGGTGGAGGAGGGGGCGGAATGACTCACAGTGAATCCGTGGCAAGGGAGAGAGCATCAACAGTTGGAGGCATTCATGTGTACTCCTGCACAAACAATAGGCTGTGTCTATGTTTCGGTACAGACTAAATTGAGCGTCGCCCTGATTGAGGAAACACTAGGCTCCGCTCCCACTTTGTTGGGCACAGAATGCTTTTAAGTTTTATGGATCATGGCGACGGTGGCATTGGGAGTGTACACATTTTTTGGAGAAAAGAGAGAGGAAGTTGCATTAATTAGTCTGAAGCATTTGCATTTTCGCCAAACACCGTGAGGAGCTTGTGATGAACAAACTTGCGAAAGGTGTGCCTTCTTCTTTTCATTACCTCTTAATGAGTCATTTAGTTCAGACAATCATGCAAGGAAATATTGCACCTACTCACCATGCCACCTGCTTGGTTCAAATCGCCAATTCTTAGAGTGGTACCGCTTGGCAAAGGAGTGAAGTGATTGGCATTCAGGATGGGTGGATGTTTTTGTGTTGGAAAAGTGGAGAAGGGATTTAAAGGAAGCCGAGAGTGCTGGCTGCATTTATTT